TGTAAAGGGTGCGGCTTCTAAAATAGTTTTTTCCACTCATGTGTATTGTTGCAACTTCAGAAATTCCAGTGAGGGTAGTTTTTAGATCTGTGAATATGACAGTGGGGCTGGATGAATCAATGACAATGAATTATTTTGTGGATGATTATAATTTACGCTTTACATCAATTGGTTCTACCATACAACCACAAGATGGATCACAAACAAATTATCTTTCAATATTTCAAGGTATTCATTAATTAACTTATCTTTCACTACATCACCAGTTGATTTGATGTCCCACCACAATGAACGGGCTAAACAAAAATCTCAGTTTTAATTTATTCACACGCATGAAATAAAGTATAATTCATTAATAATTTGAATACATTCGATCATAACATTTTTTATCTAAAAGTTTATTTCTCACCAGTTTAGTAGTTTGGACCACAATCACACCCAATCTTTGGTCAGCTAAGGTCAAATAACGATGACCTATTCTCCATCTGTTCCTCACTATACCAATAAACCTGAGCAATATGACTGTTCATAAGGTACAGCGTAATAACTCCCATTGACAAGAACACGAGAGGTTCTCTGTACAGCAATATATCCCAAGACAATAGCGCCAAGTACAGCATGTCTGTTTCCAACAATAGCTGTGGGTTTTGTAAGACCTCAATCACTATGGTTCTGTGTAAAACTTTCCGAGAGTATCTTTTTGTTTGATTTTTTCAGGTTGGACGTAAATTAATGTTGGAGAAATTTTTCTAAAACTGAAGATGGTGGAGCATTGCTCGAATAGTATATTAGTTTTGTGGTAATGTTTTCGGTTGATCAACACATTGCTAAATTACTTGATAAATTGTTTCTGAGTGTAAATACCATATATCTTATGCTAATAGCTGTGTTAAAGAAGAGTTTATACAACTTATGATTTAAATTTAATGTGTATTATTCGGAGTACAACTTACTCTATTAGCAATTATCACAATTTAGTTGCATTACGCATTTGATGATTTGTCGATAGGGAAAGGAGAATTCCGCATAATATAGAAGTTTGGTTAGGTTGGTTAGGTTATGTTAAGTTAGATTGTATAAATAAGGCCCCTGAATTACGACCAGTGCCCGGCACCCCAACACTCTGTCGATAGGTCATTGGTCTATCAACCCTACACTCCCTTGGTGTTTTTGGTTACTTGGTGTTTCATAAAGATGTTGCAATTAAAATACAACGACGGAAGAGGTTTTTTAACTAGACACATTTTATGATACTTAGAAGAAAATAAAAACATATACAGCTCAAGGGTCTCAAAGGTCCAAGTAATTTATAAGACCATAATGTTAAGTCTGTAGTATTTTTCCGTCACACCCTTTCCGACCGTCTACCCCTGTTGCTAGGCGGAGACTGATAGCGGGAGAAGAATGCAATAAACCCCGGGACTGACGAACGGTCGCTCAAAATCGGCTCCAAATTGCGCTATCAGCCTGATGGGCCGTTCCCATTGTTTTACAACCCCGGGGCGCATTTACTGTCTAGCCCGGGGGTTTGATCGATCACCACTTGTGATAGTTATTAGTCGTAGTTATTGCCAGTTAGTGTTGATGTATTGGGAGTGAAGTGGCGAATTTTGTGAAAGAAGTGGAATAGAATTTTAATAACGGCTTCAAAAAGTGGGTTTTTGCGTAATTGGCATTTTTTACGTTTTGTAAGAGAATGGTCTGAACCTTAGTCTTACTGCTAGAACTTTTGTTAAATAACATCATTAATAATAATTGCATATTATGTCTAAAATCGATCGTTATATTTGTAGTTGAGCACCATAACCACTTGGCTATGAACTTGCCATTCAAAAATACAGCGATGTAAGTTTTGGTGAAGTGGTTTGATTTTGTTCATTATTTACTTAGTGAAGACGATTGATTTGACTTAACATAATAACTGAGTGTCTTTAGGTCCGCATCTAAAGTTTGAAATCTTTAGGTACAAACAAATTATTTTAATAAAAAGTGTATGTGCAATCTTAATGTTTATTATTTGTAAAGGGATGGAAGATTGTGTAATATATGCAGTTTTCAAGACATTATTTTATTAAAGACGATATTTCGTTATGGTATTGTGTCCATAGTTAAAGAAAATAATTTATTTATTGTCTGTTTAGAGTATTAACCTCATTTAGTTCTTTATATATAATATTAAGTTAAGCTAAACAAGTTTGAAAATACTGTATAAACCTTTTAGTAACTACGAACGTAAATCTAGTCTGAAAAGGCAACATAAGGGTTAAAATAATAAATAAAACAAATCCGTTAAAACAACTCCCCAGAGCTTCTTGAGATTTGCAGTGGATGTGGAAGGTGGTTTATCCTAAGTACAAACACCATTGTTGACTCATTCACATTCAGTTACTCAGCTTCACCTTATGTTGCTCGGCTAAGCTGTAGCTGTAGCTACTCGTTACACAGGAATTGTACACTGGTTTATGACTTGAGCTGGTGATTTATACGCCGTTAACAAGAAAGGAATGTCGGCCTTAAAATTAAAGCATTGTAAAGGTTAACACTTATACTGAGTGACTTTGTAAGATCGTGGCTTTAATGGTGTAGATTATGTCTGATGCTGTTTTGTATAAGCGGAAATTTTAATGGAAATAATAATTCTATAGGCCATTGTTTGCACTTTGAGTTAAAATTTTATTTTTATATTGAACAGAAGCGTTTAATTATCGTACTATGAAAATAGACCTGATTCATTCTTTACGCATACGCCATTTGAATATAAGAACATAACGTGGAAAAATACTGTCCACACAATTGATTTACAGTTATACCTAAAGTAAAAATAACTCAGTTTAGAATCAAAGAATATCTACAAACTCGGTTATATACTTCTAATATTTCTTTGGGTGAAAAACGGATGTTATGGGATGAACAACCAAATTAACCAATGGACTACCGTAATATTGTTTTGCATTATAAAAACCTATTAATGATATTCTACCTTCAAAATAATTTGCCTCCTCACAATGAGTTTATAATTATGTATATGAGGCAACAATTAATCCCTCAGCTAGCAAAAAGGCTAACTGTTCTCCCATACAATAGCCATTGGTAATGACACTAACACTTGTGTGAAGCGAGGGGAAAATATGGAATTCCATAATTAAAACATTAACTCCAAAATATTATCATGTATTAAAACAATTAAATAGATCAAACATTAGTAACACCATCAATAGTCAGGGGTTGAGAGGACGATAAAACACTGATATAACACAACGTGTCAAACATACATAATATTGTTTTACCCGCCAAGCCGCCATTTCATTTCCGTTCCGGAAACTCCTCTCCCGCTACCTGGTGTCAGTAAAGTGAATAACTCACTGAGTGGAACGGTGGAATTGAAATTTGCATACAGCAAAGCTGAGAGCGTCGTAATACTTTGCTGTCTAGTACTTGTGGAGTGTTTACATTTAATCGATAGAACCTCTTTGGTCTCTAGGTTTTGACCCTAAATAATTGATTGTGATATGAACTGAACGATATATTAACTTCGATACTATCCATTTCCTTTCGTAGGTATGAAACTCTATTATATATACCGTCTCTAAATGTTCATATTTTTCACTTAAAACACCGTATTTCTCTACTTTATAGATTTTTCCAATGTAATCAATGTTCTCTGCATTCGCTGATACATTTTATGAATAAATTAATTTATTATTTTATTAAGTATCCAAAAATATTTTATATCTCTAATGAGGTCTGCAAAATCAAAGAATCCAAGCCTACTAGCAAATAATTGATCCCAAAAGGTTTCCCCTTGCCAAGCAGTACGACACTCTACGAGTTGTTGTGTTATGTGTTTAGTGTCAAGGTCTTTCCAGGCGCTGCCAACTGACAAATAATTTCATTGCTTGTGTTCAAAGTGCAACACCGGTAACGGTAACAAGTTTTGGTTGCCTTATCATTGAATTCATCAATCTTTCGTTTATTAAGTATTTACTTGTGTATTTGTTATTCACACCATTTTTACCTTTTGATTCTTATCTCATTTAATCTATAGTAAAACATGTCCATAAAGTCTTAGTTTTCATGTAAACTATGAAATAGTTTCATTCTCACAACATTTCAGTTGGGGATAATATAAAAGGTTGTTTCGATAATTAAATTCATAATTCATGTTCAAAATCGGGTATTATTGCATATTCTGAGTTAAACCCTCGTCCACAGTAATCACTGTTGAACAAAATCAACCAAGTTTAGTTAAGGTATGTCCACACACTTGATTAATAATATGTGTGCTAAAAATAATTTAATTTGGTATGTTCCAATTAAAGGTTCAACTATCTCCTGACGTATTATATGTTTTACATTCTCTAAACCTGCAATACTATCGAATAGTCCTCATTTCCACCCCGTTTTCTTAGTCATGAAGTTATAAAAAATGCAACAATCTCAATCTCAGTGCGCAATGTAAACTTTCCGAACTACAAATCCCTTTATAATTGATTCATATTGAAGTCTGTAATGAGTAGATCCAGGGGCGCGAACCCTCAAGGATTAGACGAGGTAGGAAGACAAGGCAGTTTATATAGGGAGGTTACTTCAGCTTCGAAGTGAGCTTCACAATCAATGTCTTTTTAGTTTGAACCAGTATCGAACTGGAACTCAAAACGAGAGTTTGATTCACACTCACAACTACATCCACGTTGCAGAAAGCCTAAACACTCACTGAACCATTACGATAAATCCTTTTTATTGTGAACAGATTGTAATGCAAACTTTACAGTATAAGTCAGGTTGAAGGTTTGAAGAGAAAAAGTATATGATTTCCAACTCCAACTGAACAGTAAGAACTACTGATTGCAAATGAAAAAAAATTCTGTGGTATCACTACAACCGTATACTACGGTGCAGAACAAATTGGTGATATAGGTAGAGTTTACAATACTTTCACAATGGAATATATAATTAGATGTACATTTTTTACCCAATTGTAATATAATGTTTTGTTTCAGTTGCTGAATACGCTCGCCAATGACCTTGACTTTATGCTGAATGACCTCTGCCCTCCTCCTCAAAGTTGTCCAATCAGGTGAGTAAAAATTATTGTCTGAACAAATCTGAATATGTGTGCAAAATATGTTTACAAGTAACATATATTAGAATATTGTGGTACAGTAGTTAAAATTCAACATTATTTACTCAATTGACCAGCCACTTCCCATAATTATCATTGTTGTACATTGACCATTACACGTCTGGCCCCCTACCAGGTACCATCTGCTACCCCTCTCCCCCCCTCTAATGAGAGAACAAATGTAACGTCTGGCAGATTAATTTCCCCCCCCCCCCCTTATGATGTGATGGCCAGACCATTGTCGTTAGGCGTTAGAAGAGCTGTTAGCAGAAGAATTGCCATTTGGTCAAGTTTTTCTTCGTTGATTATTTATTTGGGCAAAATCAACGTTGGAAGAACTACGAATAAATACACCTAAGTTTCCATTTATTCGTATCATTTGTAGTTTTACAGTGAAAGGAATACCTACTCATGTGATTGCACTCATTGGAAACCTACATAATTCTAGGTGTTATGGTCTTTACTTTACAACGAGTAAATGTCTGAAGTAAGTCATAATTCCTTTGGTTAAACCCATCACATTACTAAAAAAGTTGAAATACAAAACTCTGAAATTAACGTGTAATAGTCTGCATGTAAATTTATTGCTTCCTACTACAGTATCTCCACTCGATGTTATTTGCAAGTGATAGCGTCCAAATAAAACAAAACAAGTATGCGGTACATTTTTAGGAAAGCATACTTAATATTTCTTAGAAAGAGTAGGAATATTTTAGGCTCTCTGTAACTTTAGTTAACTAACAACTCTGAAAACTTAAAAGTGCAAACGTACTAAAAACACTTAATGTCTACATACAAACTTATTTTGCCAAACAAATTTGTATTCTCTATTTAAATAAGCATCACTATGAGTTCACCTGCGATGAGGATTTTAGAGGACACAGGGTAAGGTATGTGTGTGTGTGTGTGGTGGTGTATGCAAGGTGTGTAAAGGTGATATAGGGATTATAAAGGTCTTTGCACCCCTGACTATCAGACTCCCTCTCTCTCACAAATAATATCATTGGTGACGAGAGATTACGTCATCAAGTGACTTATCACACAGACTAGTCAATTTGGCTGGACGATAATTTTAATTTTAGTTTTTTTTTGTTTTTTTCAAACTATAATAAATTTTAGTCTAGAATGAATATTTCCTGATTTACAAAAGTATTAAGCTAAGTTTAACAGACAGAAAAGTAATGACTACACACTAAATAAAAATGCTAATTAAATTTTACTAATAAAAAAAATGATTTTGTTGGTCCGATTTAGGAATATGGTTCAAATATTTTTGCGACACATATTTAATGCAATAAATTCTGCCAACATGACGTGCCAATTGCATTGCGATATTTGTTGCTGGCAGGTTGGTCGTCTGCTGTTTATCTTATCAGCTGATTGTTTCTTGGTACTCATGTCAGAAGTTGTTCGGGTCGCGATCGCTGATCAGTGTCCGTGTATCTTCTAGTTTGTGTGAGTGATTGTGAAATCTTGGTGAATATTGTGTCAACATTGCTGGGTTGGTGCCTTGTCAATAGTGAATTGTGTAAAGTTAAAAGTAGTTTCATAAAGTCTAGCAAGTTAGGTTAAAAATAGCGTTTCGTTGCGGATCGTGTACTTAACCTTAAACAATCTAGTTTATGTTAACTTTTAGTTTAAGTCGAAATTGGATAAAAAGTGCTAAACGTTGTTATCTTCGTTATCAAAACCTTCATTCGATAATGGTTCAACAGAAATTACTTCGGCTTAACATAACTCTTGTTTTATTCCATGGAAAATTCACAGCATTACATGGAATGTTATACAGTAGCACAACATGTTTAACCCGATTAATCAGGCCTATAGTTATTTACACCGAATATGTAGGATAAGTAGAAAGTACACAGCCATCATTTCATACGAACCACAACACAGAAACATTAGTTGACGTTTAGTTAGACTATTTGTCTCCCAACTTATTTGACCTTGCGAGTGCCAAAGTGTGTCAGCCTTTATTTCAACATCTTTCAAATTATATTTGACAGGCCTATATAAAATTAGGCCCTTCGTAATATAGTTGATCTCATCCTCAACATGTTATGTATGAGAGTTGTTAATTTATTGCAATAGAAATGTGTTTTAGGCCAATCAAATCTTAAAAACTCAATGAGCATAATTGTTTTGCTAGATATTGTTGAGTTGTTTATTTAGGACAAGCACAGTTTAGTTTTTGATTCAATGATTTTATGATTTTTTTAGCCATCCAGCAAAGCAATGAGCTATGTCACATTTCAATACAAATAAATTTTTATATAGTCAATCTAGACTCACAGACGCGATATTAGCAAAAAAACGTTCACTAATGCACATGTATACATGCTAGAAAAAAATATGATCTTATATGACCATTATAGTGTAAAAATAAGTAAATCTTCACAATTTCAAGAGAAGCATTGCGTAAAACTTGTATAGGTTAATTTAGCCAAGAACAGGTCAGTCCGAAGGCTAAGCATTAACAGTTGCAAAACTCAAAACATTCGTAAATTAAAAAGAAACCTTTTTAAAACCTTTTAACATTCCAAATATGGATATGTGGATTTAGTTTACTACAATAGAGCTCATAAACATTATAAATGACAACAACTCGAATATGCTAAATTATTTTTTTCTTGGCTTTAAAGTAGGTAGTTTTAATCGGAATTGGTGACAATCATCAACGTAATGCTCTAATCGGTTGTCTCTGACAGCTAACCATGTCAAAAATAAACATTGGGAAAATTGTTTGTTTCTTCTCCTAATGACATCCAAAGGCCATGAAACAGTTTTCATGGCATTAATCGATTAGATTTACAATTGCCAGCCTAATATTGTCTGTAGATGTAAGATCGCATGTGGCTACAGAGACCATTGCCAAGTGGAATTACAACAGACATTGACAGCGATAGTGACATGACTCAGAGTGTAATAATCACTTGGAATAGTAATTGTTCGTTTGCATTAAACACACAGTGTCAATAGCATGAGTGTGACGTCACTTTAGTGTCTACTGATTTCCGCTGGGTTTAATCATTTACTTTGGAAACCGCAAGTACCCTAATCGCGTATTAAACATACAGTACTCCCTTACGAATTTATGATTCATGAAGATTGATTAGCTGAAGACAATTGTAATGATTATTCAGGTTTACGTGGTTTTGTGGGTTTCAATTTTTCTTGATGTTAACCAACTTTAAACTACTGAATATAACTTGAATACTACAATAAAATTCTTTTGTAAACTAACGTTTGTCATTTGATATTTTAACAAAACAGTGAAGCAAAAAACGGCAAGATATACTAAAAAAATACATATAAATTGAACACCTGCCAACTTTCACACGTTACCTTAAAACCAGGTTTTAGATTTTTCAATGAGATGATAATCTTCTTGCAGTATCCAAGGTGAATGCGTTCCCATGTGAATAACGTTTGAGTGTGTTGTAGTCGTTAGGCTTGTAATCTTGGGTACTACAGTATAGGGAAAGCAAGAATATAAAAAAAAACAAGTTGTAATTGGTTTAATAATTTTTATAGGTTAAAAGACATGACATTTAACAATAAAAGACAAAGACATAGCATTTACGACACCACTTAGAAACATGGACAGTGTATTTCACTTCAGCTTTCATCAAAGTTTGAAAAATAATTGATCCCTATACCACCTAATGTGATAATCTAAATTTTACAAATCATCAAAATGTACCTACATTATTTGTGGTTACAATGAAAACGACATTTTTGTTTACACTAAACTTATACAATCTTTTATGGCCGTTGATCATCCATTGGGCTGTTGTTGGACCCATCTTCACTGCAGAGTTGCGATTTATGTTAGGTCCATGTTAGTAATTACACCCCTCTCAGCTACCCCGGGCCGGGCCCCTGTAAATGATGTATATCCCCAACATACACATGGTGGTGGGGGGTAATGACCATGTCGTGTTTTCAACATTGGCAAACACATAAAAGCTATCATTGTTGCGTTATTTCCACATAACTTTTGCTCTGTTTTCACTGCGTGTATGTTTCATGATTCAGTGTTTGGTTTGATTTTTCGATGTCGTAGGAAAAGAGTAGGTTGGTATAGAACAGTTCATTTATCTATGAATTTAAGGTTGTAGTTGAAGTGGGCTACGTAAATTTAAATATTTTTACTTAAATTGTGTCTGCTCTCACTTAATGTATTTTAGAGAGTTCTCTTGGACTACGGTTTAGTTTAATGTTTGACTTTTAAAATCATAGCTTGGTTAAAATAAATATTTGATTTACACGCATAGTACATGAATTCCATAAATAATTAAGATAATTTGTTCTGTTTGGAAAGAGATTATGGGAGAAATGGAAAGATTCAAATAAACAACCAAACAATAAGTACGGTATTTTCTGATTATATTGAAACGTAATTCGTATTTTACAATTTATCCCTGTTTTAGCAATTTCAGTTAGATTTCTTCGATATTCCAAAATAAATTGATCTCGGTTAGGTTTGGATACTTCCATATCTTTTACGCAACAAGTTATTTAATCTGTAGACTAAGTTAAGTAAATCATAGTTATTTAATTAACCAGGCATATAAAAACTTCCGTACCGGTAGTCATATATTTTTACAATAGGCATAAACGTAAAAATCAGCCTCATTAAATATTTTCTTAATGAGGGGTATATCACAACTTCCTTTCATACATTCTTTAAAATTTTTCCTCCTTTCATATTTCCAAAATTAGTTTTATGAAGTGAATACTGTAAGTGAAACTCTTCATTGAGTGAGTGACTTCTACAAGGGATTGATGACCTCCAAATGACCTCTTGTGAGGAGAAGTCAGGAGTGATCAAGACCTTCCTGAGATATGTCTCCTCCTTGCGAAGGAAGAAGAAAAAGAAACTCCTGGAGGATAAATTTGAATACCAGGAAGAAGAGGCTGATAATAACAGGTTTGTGGTTTACCATGATTAG